TTAATTTATCATCACTTCAAGACATAAAGCTTTCATAAAAAATAATATTACGGATTTAAATCTACCGCGTAACTTGAGCAACATTACATTTAGAATAGCAAATAAAAACATTTGTTGTGCATTCCATTGGCTTGAATAAATTGACAAGAAAGTAGATTCTAATTATTTCACTTTATAAAATGTTAATATATTTATTTAGTTTTGTTTGAAAATTGTATATGAAATAATAATTCATATACAACTCAAATTTCACTTACATATCATGAAAGCGAACCTAAGTTCGGATAATTAATGACATTGTTTACTACTTCACATTGATTTTATCAAATTTGAATTTTTTAAAGTGATAATTTTTTATATATTTTGTTTGTAATATTATTTTATCGAAGAATACAGCGTTGAAAAGAAAGGAAATAAAAATATATTTTGAAAAAAATGAAAACCAAACCTCCTCAAACAGATAAAAAGAAAGAAAAATCACAACATAAACAAAAATTAAAAACACCAAAATGCCAAAAAAATAAAAAATTTACTAATCAAAAGGGCATCAGTTTTAAAAAGCTCGAATTTTGGAGCTTCACGGTTGAATCAGCCCAAAATAGTTAATTCTCATCATCTGCCCAATTCAAAACTTGATTGAACTAACAAAGCGGAATCCAATTTATAAACGAAGATTAAGAACGAAAAGCGAAAAATAATGTATCGTATCGAGACAAAAGCGAAGCCTTTTACAAAAAGAACTCGCTTGGTCAGTTGATCGACAATCGTCAATTTTGCTGGTTCTCAGAAAGCATCTTCTCATGTGCATCGAGACACCGCTTAACCAGCTATTTTCCTCAATTATATTTCCTCTGAAATCACAAAGAAAATTAAAGAAGATGTTCGAAACAATCATCGATCGACCAATCTCTAGTTCTTTAAGTACACTTTTTGTGTGTTAATAGAAGTGTCTAAGGCTCCTTGGAGGACCAGAGATTAAGAACAAAGAGTCCGATCAAAGAGCCCTAGTTTTGAGATCCAATGAAATAGGATCGGATTTGTTAGTGTTGGCCTCCTAACTAAGCCAGATGCGAAAATTTATATAAAATTGCACATATGGCTACTCAAAGAGGCGCTCCCCGATACCAACGTTCTTAACATAGTGCTTGATTGTGTGTGTGTGTGTTACAGGTGAGATTGAGATTAGAGGTTGAGAAGGAGGGAGTGTGGCATAGTATAAAGCTGCCGAAGGAGGCTTTATAGAAGATATTGGGCTTTTAGGGTTTCACTGGTGACAATGGACGTTGGAGAGAGTTTGCAAAGCCCAGACCAGATTTACTATCGGTGGAAATTACACCCTCCTCTACATTTACAAATTCAATTTCTAAAATAAGATTTGATGTTTTAAGTTTCAAAA